AGAAAGAGCATGTTTCTCAACCATTCTTTGAGTTGACCTATAAAACTATTGAGAGTGGGACAATCCCGTATCTCAGTTGGGAGGCTATTCCACAACGAGCTGCCTTTAATGGAGAGGACATTTTGTCCGAAAGTGGTCCGTCTGCGGTGGACTTCACAGTCTCCTCAGGCTTCTGACCTAGTGCAGCGTCCAGTGTGTTTTTTGTGGATGAATTCCCCTAAGGGGGGGGGGTCACCCAATGCAATACTCCTCCTTTTTTTTTTATTCAGGAAATTGCCGTCAACATCTTTAAGCCAAAAAAGGCCCAAATAGTTAATAACAGGTTAAACCAATTACATTAAATGTCAGCCAACAACTCCTTAATAATTGGCTTGACAAATATTGGATTAGTATGAATATTGGATTCTTTTAATGCAACCGCTAGCAGTATGAGAAAAATAAAGAGCTTTTTGAACATTAAAGCAGGGAAACATGTCACAGTAGGGGCACAGAATACAAATATGAACCAAAACATTAGCATAAAAGGGCCTCTTTAAGAGATGTTTTGAGACTCAATACAAGTGAAGACGGAAGGCTTTGTAACCTGACACTGGTTTATTTGTTTCAGGGCAGTGAGCTGGGGACTAAGGTCAATTACTGATCAACATCACATGATTGCATGTTTATGGTTCATTAGAATTCATAGCATGAACATGGTTAATTAAACATGGTAAGATAAAACGCATCACAATGAACCTCTAATAGGCGTACAGAATATAGCACTGACTTACTTTTACTGCCAAGTCGCTGAATCTCCTCCACCAGCCGTTTGACTTCATGGTCGACATTCATTGTTGCTAGAAGGGGTAAAGAAAATCTAATTCATTACCACAAATAGACTTCTTAGCTTAACAAAAGTGTTTTTTAAAGCGTGTACACAGTGTGGGAGGAGACGAGCAATTGGTCATGCTACTTTCTTGCAGGGGGGAGACAACAAAAATGGTGTCATTTTAATGTCCTGTTGCTAAAAAGTAAATGTATTCTTAAATATAGGATCCCTAATTTTCGTAAATGCTTAATACATGAATCGGCGTGTAATTTAGTTACCATTTGTTTTAACAATCCTTAATGATATCGAAATGTTGGACCACATATAATGTGATATAGTCACTTCAAAAAATGTCTTTCTTTGCCAAATTCTCAAAAGGCGGATACTAATTCAGAAGAAAATATAAAATTATAATTTCTCACATAAATACATTTGATTATCAGAGACACAGTTGCAATTTTGCCAGAATAGTGAATGGGATTCAAACATGTTTGAATCAAAATCAAGTTTTTTTTGGTAATTTATTTTATGCCGAATTCTCAAAAGGCGGATAGTTATTAAGAAAAGAATATAAATTACAATTTCTCACATCATTAAATGTGATTATTAGGGAGATTGGTGAACGGTGGTGGTCTGGGACAAAGGTTATCTTCTTACAATAAACGGCCATTAAAAACGAAACTAAAATGCCTTTTTCATTCATCAAAAACACACTAACAAAAGCATAATCGATGCATTTAATTCTAGATTTATTAAATGAAGGATTTAATAAATGTATAAATAAATAGTGCAGTATTGAGATGAACGGAGCAGGCTGCAACAAGAACAGGGCGTACTGTGATCAATGCGGAAATGGTACCATTAGCATTCAGAGCTAGCCATCACTGAGCACAAATCCTCATTGTAATTCATGCATTTCAAACATGTGCAGTCATTCTTTAGTTCGGGTTTATATTTACAGTCTAAATGTGTCTTAAATTGCTTCAGGTACAAAAGAAAGACTTTGAATGAGCACCGGGTACGAGCTTGCCCCGGTATTGTAGCTTCTTACGTTCAACAAATGATCAGCTGATAAACGGATATTATATGTGGTGAAGGAATAATGTAATAAAAGTCAACATAAAACCAGTTTGTATGTAATATTAACATATTTACCTTTTGTTTTATGGTTCTGGATCCTAATAAGAAGATGACCGACTTTCTGATGAATCTGCTCCGTTGAATGATGCTGATGCGTTCAGTGTCTGCTCGGAAATGATATTCTTTGTCTTGGTGCACTGATTGATTTCTCCTTGTCATTCATTTCGACATCGTCATTTTGTAACAGAGCGAAGGTTTAAAAAAGTAAACAGATGAATTACTGTAACTGAATTATGAAAAATAAGTAAAATACTGAATTAAAAAAATATATATTGGGACCAAGGATTATGGAGGTTTTAATAATACATAGTCAAAGAAAGAACACAATGTTCACACTATTCCTAACACACTGTTCTATACATATAAATAATCCTATTCGAATATTAAATAGTATTAAAAGAGCTTTTTACCAATACCTAATGGCTCAGTGTGCAAACAATCACTAATAACGGTCATACTATGTGACTGGGAGCTTCAGAAAATGTAAAAAAAGTTACCTTTTGCTCAAGGGGGCAGCTGTAAAATATTAAAATGCATGAAAAGATGTGGGTCACGGGGTCTTTCAACAGATATTCAGATTTCCCATAACCCTTAAAGGCACCATTAAAGCTTATCTGACTTCATCGTGACACAGCTTTCAGGGGCTCCTTATATGGCATGGGAGAGAGATGCCTGCTGTCTCTACAAACAACAAGTTACCTTTTCTAATCGTCCAGAAATGACTACACCTAAATACAAAAACAATAATATCTTTTTTTTTAATCAAGCCTTTGGAGCAGTGGCGTTACATTTACACAAGCATTATCTTTCCCTGTGTCAAACAAAACCTCTTCTCATCTCTTCCTTTCCATCCTTTCCTTTTCTTATGTCATCCCGTCTTCCTGTCCTCTTCCTTCCACCTGATTTGGTTAAATGGGCACCATAAGCTTATTTTAGCCTCATGGGTTATGTTGTTGTATTTTTGTTTATGGTAATAATGTCTGGGAGCTATGGGCATGTGGAACACATGGAAAAACTATAACACATACCCAATTACCACTCTTCTTTAGTCATTGGGTCATTGTATTATTTACTAATAACATGTCATGCAAAAAGCTTTTATTGGGACAACATTTTGTGCTTGTTTTATTATAATATGATGTATTCTCCTACTATTATTACTGCATTTTAAATTCGTATGTACATACTATAATCATTAGTGTTCGCCCCTATTTATTAACGGATTGATATTTACATATAACACATCTTCCCCTATTAATTACCAACATAGTCGATTATCCGGGTCCCTGAAGGCCAAGCAAGCTCGCGCTGATTCGGAACGTAGCCCAGTGACGTCACGAGACATCAAGCTAGCTGCAAAAAAACCCTGAGCGAAAACCGGAAATGGATGGAACTTATTTTCACAACAAAAGCTCACACTGGTGTATTTTGTAGGGCTTTTTTTTGCTATTTTATGACAGCAGTCTCCTGTGTGTTGGAGTTAAATGAACTTACATCTCCACGTATATCGTTTTATGATTCATAATTAAAGTTGAACATTTGTGTAATTATTTGATTGGATTTGATTTGCTGTCCAACCTTATCCTAAATGGATGTCTATGAGTCAGAAGGTTGGTGGTTCAAGACTCATCATGGCAAAGTGTGAGAGATGATGAGATATGGAAAGCAAGATGGTGTGATGTGATAATGTGAAAAAAACTGTAACTCCCGGTTGGTACCAAAAAAGGCAGGCAGGTGTACGGGTGGGCAGACAGAGACAGATTTTGTTTAGTCTCAAGGAGACGTCCCAAAAACCTCAGAGGGACGTGAACTTTTTTTTCATTTCCTTTATTATCATTTTGAGTTTTCATGTTTTTAAATATTTTGTGTCCTGGCCAGCCTAATCATCATCATCTTTATTTAAAGAGACTCTTGGTCCATTATTACAAAACATACAACACTCAAATATAAATTAAAAAAGGCAGTTATACCAATGTTTCCACAGAGGTGACTGGTATCGTACAGCACTGAAACACGGATTTGACAGCAGCATAATGACAGAGTTATGAGAAACATTCAATCGACAGATGAATTTATACATCAGATTTCTCAAGAGAGCATGGAACGTGTTGACTCGTGCATTACAGAACATTTCACTTGCACTGCACCACCTTGGTTTTCTAAGCAGTATACGCAAACAGTCATTATATGCAACCTGGAGCTTCCGGAGGCTCGCCTTCTTATACTTGACCCACAGGGGGCAGTATAGAGAGGAGTGCAATAAGCTCTAAAGAGGTTCACCTTAACCTTATCTGAACACCAAGATAATTTTCTAGCCAACATGCTGGCTTGTATAAGACACGCCGCTGTCTATACATGTCATCATTATCAGCCATTTCATCTGTGATGATGTGTCCCAGATACTTAGTGTTACAGCAAACAGACAGCACCTGTCCTGACCATAGACTGTATATATAAAGGTCCTGACAGGTAGAATGAAGGAAAACAAAGGTTCTTATCCCCTTTTGCTCTGCAGATCATTACAGCGCTCTTCTTAGCATTGTATTTAACGTCAAATTTGACTCCGTAATCAGAACAAACATTTAGCAACTGTTGAAAACCAGCACTGCTAGGAGAAACAATTGCCAGATCATCGGCATGGTTTACAATCACATTACCAATCACACACCCTGTTTTACAGACACTTAAATCATCTGATAGATCATTCATATAGATATTAAAAAGGCTTGGTCCAGTCATTTCAAATAATCTCCAAACTGTTAAACTCAGTGGTTAAAGCAGGCAGTCCATATCTAGATCACTGTTTAAATTAAGCAAATGCAATACAAATACAAAAGTGAGATTTTGAATGGAGGGCTTTTACTTGTGATTACATATTTTGACAATATTGTTTGTACTTTTACCCAAGTATCTGAATACTTGTTCCACCACTGACCATAGTGTGTATGATACAATATGTTCACAAACGTTGCCAATAAACTGATTCTGAGATGTTCAAGGGCTGTTTTAATTTGAAAAGATCCTTCCGGAAGTTTAAATTCAACTGTGAGTGGCTTTACACTGGTGGCAGGAATGGCGGCTAAGATTACTAGAGGAAGGAGCCCAAATAATCCATGAAACTTTACTTCTAACAGCCCCGCTGAGGAATTTGTTTCCAGCGAAACGCAGAAACACCATCCCATGACGGACTAAAGGGAGAACGAAGCGCTATAACGTGAGATAAACGCGGTTAGTTGTCCAGCTTTGAGAAGGTGGACGCACTTTGCTAGTTAGCTTAACGTTAACTGCCACTGACTTTGATTCAAGGTAGCGGTTAGCTCGCAGTGCTGCTAGCCAGCTGTTGGCTACTTTTCTTGGCTGGCCCAACAAGTTAACTAAGTCAATAACTGTATGGAAACATTCCTCATTTTAGTATTTGAGTGGTGAGTAGCTGTCATTGTGAACAGATAGTATAGGGGGCTTTTACAGAGAGTGGGCTCAGACGACAACAGCGCGTTGAGAACACTATTCCTGCTAACCTAGCTAGTGCTGGAAGGCTAGCTAAGTTTGAAGTCTCGCCCATTTTTTTTTGGTCCTGCCCTAGCCATTGGCTAAGGGCTAATCAACAGCCAAGTAGCCCGGTTTTCAGGGTCGATTGGTACTACGATGGAAAGCTTAACGCTGACTGATTACGAGCAGAAATATTACTCGGATTTGTTCGTTTACTGCGACACGGACAATACCAAAAAAGTGGCTTCCAATGGGAGAGTTCTTGACCTTTTCCGGGCGGCCCAGCTACCCAGCGAAGTTGTCCTGCAGGTAAGCTAGCGTTAGCGAGTGTCATTATCCCCAGACTGTGATGGTGTTGGCCACGAACTGTTATATGGATATTTGTTTACCAACTTGCTTGGCTGTCAGAGCTGACCTGTCATCCAGTTAAAGTGAGGTTAGCCCTGGTGGTTAGCAATGCTGCGCAGCATAAGAGAGTAGACACACCTTCTTCTGGCTAATGCTAGCTGTAGCCGAAGACAGTGGGCAGCCAAATCACATAGTTACCCTTAGCTGAACATCTGGGTTCACATTGACATCCTACTTAGAAAACAGACGTGTATGTCTTCTCTTTAAGTATATTTTCGTGATTGTGTGTTGAACAGTGCCCATACATAAGGTTGTAGCAAATATGTCCTCATCAGCCCTTTGCTTCAGACCTACTGCTCAGTACCATCAATCCAAATTCAAGATTGAAAGGCTTTATTGTCATATGCACAGTAGCTACAGTGTGGTTATGGCAATGAAAACAAGTCCCAGTCTCTCAACAAAGCAACATAAACATATGTAAACATTAAACAATACAAATAGTGCAAGAAGAAACATAATAGAAATAAAATATTGCAAGTGACCAATGTGCTAGCAATGCAGGAGAAGTAGACTATACATGTAAAATAGAATAAGATAAAAACAGAATGTCATGTTAAATACTGTACAATAATACAATTCTGCCTATTGTAGTAATACATACATATGTGAAATGTAAACATACCACGTTTATATAATGAGCTACTGGATTGGAGCTTTTTTAATGCATAAAGTGGGGTCAAAATCTTGTGTTTATTGCAGACATTTTATCTTAATGAATTTGAGGTCATGGGACAGGAAGGAGAATAGAAGACTTCTGTCTGTGTAATTGGGCTTAATGTAAAGAAGGGTGTAAAAGAAATGTATCTTTTCAGTGGTCATTGTACGCTGGTAAAAATGAGAAAAAGTCTTCAGATGACTTGTTATTTCGTCCTGTCTTCTCGCTCCTTTAAAATCCATCATTATTTCCCCCACTGGGTTGAGCTGACATTGAGGAAAATACACACCCAATGTCACAGTGTCTTCATGTCAATTTGATTTATAACCGTTAGCACCTAACCCACACAGTCTCAACAATCATGAATTAGAAATGGTGTATCATTCGACCAGCTTTTACACAGACCGTGCATATACTCAACGGCCACGTTACATTTTTAATTGACAGGCTTATTTAGCTTTTAAAGTCACTTGTTTTCATGATTGTTTAATCTGATAATACACGTATGCCTGTAAACCTTTTTGACTATCACCACCTGACTAGTTTTCCACTCAGCAGGCTAATATTTGCATTTTGTGAGTCCGGTTCTTTTCAAGGTCAACAAGGGGAGCTGCAGGGTGGAAGAATTAGGCAGTGTTGTAATCCTCTACTTTCAAAACGTCCTCTGTTGTGGCCAATAGACACATACAGCTACAGTGTCATGTTGTAACCGGCGGAGAGAAGGCGCTGGTTCTTTGATTGTCCAGACGTATCAGAATAAGTCCTTTGTCAGCAAGAAAGGGATCAGTCAGCTGTGGCGGGCTGTTGGTGTTGTGGCTCACGGCACTGAAGGACTCTTCTTAATGTTGTGAAGTTTAACTCCGTTTGGTGTTAATTATCCACAGGACTCTGGTATCCACATGCTTCCACACTCTGTATATTCACACTCATCAACAATGCATTGTCTTTTACATGCTTCTGTACAAATACGAAACACGTTGTTGCGCTGCCCAGTGTTACATTCAGGACTAAGCGGCTCAGCATGGTGCCAAGTAAAGCAAGATATGTGATAATCAGGCTTATTAATGGTCAGACCCGCTGAACATCTGCCAGTGAGCTGAGCAAATGAGACTGTTTTCAAGTAAATAACATTGTATAAAGCCACCAGTGTTTGTAGAACTTAGATACATAATAATACATGGTTACTATATTGGTTAAGACCACTGACCACATCGTCACAGGTACATACAAGGATTTGAAAGGGTGGTTTAACCCCTACATTTTTAAAGATTGTGAATATGCTTGAATTTCCAAATAATTTGAGGTTTTTCAACATAATCTGGTGTTTCATACATACATTTATACAATCGCGTAGACATACGTGTTGTCTCCTGGTGTCTCACATCAGATGCAGCGCGAAAAATAGCTAGCTAAGCATCACTTTATAATAATAAGACACTATTTTGTCTGATATAATGTTTTTTGTTCCTCTTCGTCCCTGTGTGTGTGGGTTTAGATCACAGAGCTTTGTGGAGCCACTCGGCTGGGTCACTTCGGGCGGAGCCAGTTCTACATCGCTCTGAAGCTCATCGCCATCGCCCAGTCCGGTCTGCCCCTGAGGGTCGAGAGCCTCAACTCGGGTGAGTCCATCGCTGACTGGAACCATTGATCTTACAAAGAAGCTCCCCGCCCACAGGAAAGAACAAGTATCCACTCAGTACCATCACAGAAAGTGCCAGTGGACTCAAAGCTCATGTGTATCTATTTTGGTCAGAATATTGTTTGTTTTTTACAAGAATGTAAAGCTTGTTATTCTGTGTTAAATGCTGAACGTGTGCATTCAGTGGACTCATTGTATGCTGGATAAAGTAATTCAATCACAGTTAATCTCATTCTGTTGGTAGAGATCTGGTGGTTCCATCCCCGCCTCATTCTTTCCACAAGTACTTGAGAGCTTTACCAGGACATTGGACTTTTTAGAGGACTCACCAAAGTCAAACAGAGAAGTTAATCTAAAGCCTGAGGGCTAAGACTACAGACTCTTAGTAAAGATAAATAGAAAGTTAGTAGAAACAGTTCTTACCATCCACCTGATATACAACACAAATATAAGGCTATTACCAGTGGGAAATAGCTGGCATAAAATATACAAATATATTATTTTTGATTACATTGCATTAGTTTCCAAAGAAACCAATATGTCTACACACACACACACACACACACACACACACAACACACACACACACACACACACACACACACACACACACACACACACACACACACACACACACACACACACACACACACAGACATAGACATATTGGTTTCTTTGGAAACTAATGCAATGTAATCAAAAATAATATATTTGTATATTTTATGCCAGCTATTTCCCACTGATAATAGCCTTATATTTGTGTTGTATATCAGGTGGATGGTAAGAACTGTTTCTACTAACTTTCTATTTATCTTTACTAAGAGTCTGTAGTCTTAGCCCTCAGGCTTTAGGTTAACAAATTAACTTCTCTGTTTGACTTTGGTGAGTCCTCTAAAAAATAACAACCACAATGTGGGATGTCATCGTAACCCGCTGCATGAACTTACTTGCTTGGCCTTAAATATTGCAACATAAAGTTGTTGAAATGATTTCATCATTAGATATGAGGAACCACAGAGGCCACTTCCTCGTAACAAAATATTCGTGATGTACAACGTGATTAGAGTTTATGACCATTTTATGCTATTGATATAAAGAAAAGCACTCAGCCATATCCAGGTCAGCAAAAATGATCAAGGTCGTGTCCACCCACGCATCTATCAATACTTCCTTGATATCATTATTGTGACAGGGCTAAAATCCACCACGCATCTCAGACTGATGATATCTGACTATCTAAGTGCAACGGAGAGTGGGCGCAGTCCTTGAGTTTAGTGCATTAAAGCACATGGAAATCAATTTGAAAGTAATCTTTCCTCTAATCCTGTGCATGGATTCCTGTCTCCTCAGTCAAAGACTTGCCGCTGCCCCGGTTCGTGCTGGGGAAGAACGAGGCGGAGGCGAGGCACGCAGCGCTGTACACGGACACGGACGGTCTGTTCCCGGCCTCCGCTGCTGCCGTGATGCCCAGACCGCCTGGCTGGGTTATCCAAAACAAGAAAGGTCCCCCAGCATCCACTTCACTTCCTGTCCATGAGGTCGTCCAGCCCCTGGCGCCAAGCATAGAACCACAGGTTAGTAATCCTACTCTCCTCATATAGAAATTAACACTAATGGCGCATTTCCACTAAGCGTGCCCGGCCCGTTTTTGGTTGCGTTTCCACTCGGCGTAGTTCCGGCTAGCCGGGTACTTTTTCACAGTTTTTCTGGCTCTCCAAAATTGAGGTTCTTTCCGGGTCAACAACCGGGCTGAGTATGCTAAACTAGTGAGAGAATCGCTGGCACTACAACAAAATGAACATATTTGACCGTGATTAAATTGTAATACACGTTTCAAAATGATGCTGAAGTAACAACATACTGATACCGGTTAGTAAAAGCCATGAATTAATGCTTTGACAAGTCTGCAGACAGACGGCAGGCGAAAAGCCTTTTAAAATGCGTGTTTTCTGAATGGAGATTGGCTAAGCTAACGCAGTATATGCTCCGACCGTCCACACTCACAACAACGGCCTACAGACATAAATAAACCAGCGACTGTATTCGCCATGACACAGACAGTCTGTGGTTTGTACTTGTTTAACTTTTGTCTAGTTTCTGAACAGATATGAAGAGCTGTGAGCTCTGAGTGCTAACAGCTAACGGCTGATGTTGGTTTTGGGGTTCTCATTGAAGATGACTTCACGGCTCCGCCTACACTGCGTTACTATAGTTACTACCCCAGCTACTAAACTGTAATGGAAACGCAGCATAAAGTGAGCCTGGCCTAACGAGCCTAACGAGGCCTAGTCATACCGTACTAAGCCGAGCGAGGCCCTGCAGTGGAAATGCGCCATTACTGGTGTACAAACAAACATGACTACTTAGTGTTTGATATCATCACATGTCTTTGCTCTTTTGCTTGATTTAAAGATACTGTACATGTATACATGCAAAAACAATAAATGAAGGTATTAGTTTAGTTCGATTTTCTTTTTTAAACAATTCTTTATTTGGTGTCGCATAGTATTTGTATTTCATTTTGCTCAGTGAACAGATAGCAAACAAACCAAGATACAATAAATGAGTAAATAAACAAGCAAAGAAAATACACACAAAATAAAACAAGAATAAAAAACGGTACACATGGGGTGTTTTTCTGTGTTAAAGAAAACAGTTGAGTAGTTTTAACATATTTATTTTGATTTTCCCACAATTAAGAACACATTGAACTTTACTTTGATCTCCTTTACTTTGATTTCCTCAAACAACTGAGTGCAGCAGTTACTAAAGATATGCTACCGGAATACTCTCCTGCTTCCTGTGTTTTTTCCTGTCCATTTTTGTGTCCGTAAAGCTCAAATGACTCTTTGTCTTACAGTGTGTTGCCTCTCAGTAACGTAGACCTCTTATCTATTTGCATCTATTGTGAAATAGCTAGTAGCTTGAACATCCCTTATCTGTGATGAGCAGATGATAAAAGCTTTGAAGCAGTCATCTTTGGCTGTGGATGTTCGCGATGGAAATCTTATAGTATATGAAATGGCATCTGAAAGTTAATACCCATAACATGTGGGAGGTGTGTGGCGCAGTGGATAGAGCCTTGGTGTTGGGATCAGGGGGTCACAGGTTCGAACCCCACTGCAGTCAGCATGTCGTTGTGTCCCTGAGACACTTCACCCCAAATTGCTCCTGTGGGGATTGCCCACAGTATTGAGTATGGAAGTCGCTTTGGATAAAAGCGTCTAACAAGTAACATGTAATGTAATGTAATGTAATGTGAAACCATAATATAACCGTAGTGGTGACACTTCTGCACACTGAGCTTCTGCTTCCTCACTGTGTGTCAAATTAAGATTTTATAACGCTGCATGTCAGAAGCTGGTGATTCTCATTCAAGCTCTAGTTGCTTACTGAATGTATTTTTAATCTGCATACATATTTCATGTGTTTGATTGTATGTTGTGTGTTACCAGCCTGAGCCAACGTCCCCGGTGGTCTCCCCTCACCAGTCTCCCCCCACCTCCCCTCAATCGTGGAGGAAACACAAGCGTCAGGCCAGCGGAGGGAACGCAGACAGACAGCCGGCCGTTGCTCCAGCTGGAGCCGTGTGGACGCACTTCAGAGAAGCACAAGCAGCAGGTAACATCCCGACCGTTGATATGATGGCATATTTAATTAATGTGGAGCTGCAACATGTAGACAACTAGGTGATGGACAATCAGTGTATCGATTGTTGTTTGTTTAGAAACAATGCCTGCATTCTTCTGTGCCCGTCTCTACAGTGTAGTGTTCATTTCGTCAGCTATTTTTTAATTTAGTTTTAGTCTTAGTCCTGTGTTAAATTTCCTTTTTAGTTTTAGTCATATTTAGTCACCTTCATCCTGTTTTTATTTAGTCGACTAAAAGTCTGAGCATTTTAGTCTTACTTTAGTCAAAGAAAACTAATTATTTGAGTCTACTTTTTGTCAATGAAAACTGTTGAGTCTTTTTTAGTCATCAGATTATATAGAACATTTCAGTCAAACTAGTCTAGCCAAAACCAATCATTTGTCATTTTAGTATATATAAATAAATAAGATTATATCTTGTCCTTATTTGATGAAAAACAGGTTGAATGATTAAGAAGCTTTGCAGAGAGTATCAGGTTTGTGGTGTTTTTACCAGCTGTGGCCACATTGCTTCCCTTCTGATAAAACAATGCATTCGCTTTTTTTCTCCGCCTCATTGAAGCGAAAATGGGCCCAAATATCACATCGTTTCTTTCTCCCAAGCAGTGGTGGCTTTAGACTTTTTCGTTGTCAGTCATTTTGACGGACAGGATCGTAACATTTCCATCATAATCCATTATTATCCGTCGAGTGCACAATGTATCTCTCACTCGCGCTGACGGGGGGTATTCGGTTAACGCGAGTGCGACCACTGCTCCCAAGCCCTGTTGCCATTTCATTTTCTGTTAAATAAGGTTAGTTAGACCATGAGTTAGACCCGAGTCTTCCTGACAGTTCATATTGTGCCGCTGCCCGGTGTAATTCAAATCTACCGCAGCGCGCAGCACGGACACACAGCTGCTGCCCAGCCGCAGCACGGACACACAGCTGCTGCCCTGCCGCAGCACGGACACACAGCTGCTGCCCAGCCGCAGCACGGACACACAGCTGCTGCCCTGCCGCAGCACGGACACACAGCTGCTGCCCTGCCGCAGCACGGACACACAGCTGCTGCCCAGCCGCAGCACGGACACACAGCTGCTGCCCAGCCGCAGCACAGACACACAGCTGCTGCCCAGCCGCAGCACGGACACACAGCTGCTGCCCTGCCGCAGCACGGACACACAGCTGCTGCCCTGCCGCAGCACGGACACACAGCTGCTGCCCAGCCGCAGCACGGACACACAGCTGCTGCCCTGCCGCAGCACGGACACACAGCTGCTGCCCAGCCGCAGCACGGACACAGCTGCCCCAGCCTGCAGCCCCTGCTCTGCCCAGCCGCAGCACGGACACACAGCTGCTTGCCCTGCCGCAGCACGGACACTCAGCTGCTGCCCAGCCGCAGCACGGACACACAGCTGCTGCCCTGCCGCAGCACGGACACTCAGCTGCTGCCCAGCCGCAGCACGGACACACAGCTGCTGCCCTGCCGCAGCACGGACACTCAGCTGCTGCCCAGCCGCAGCACGGACACACAGCTGCTGCCCTGCCGCTGCACCGGAAATGGAACTGCTGGGAGAAAAACTGCCTATCAGAGATGTAACGTTATCTTTAATAATATTTCGTCTCCTCATTTTTCGTCAACGAAAGTAAAGAGAGATTTTGGCATCGTTTTTATTTAGTGAACTACATTTTCGTCTCGTCTCTTTTCGTCAACGATATTGCATGATGATTTCGTTACAGTTATTGTTTACTATCGTCTCGTTTTCGTCATGGAAAAAAAGGTCGTTGACGAACATATTTCGTCATAGTGTTAGTCAACGAAATTAACACTACGACAGTGATCCAGCTTTTCTGTTTTATATAACTATTGACTGAATATCTTAGGCTATTAGACTGTTGATCAGACAAAACATCACATTTCAAGCCGTCACCTTGGACTCTAAGAAACGTAGATACCACATTTTCACTATTTCCTGATTAATTGTCAATATAATCCTCAGATGAACTGATACAGAAAATAATCTTTAATAAAGTTAAAGACAGTGGAAAGAGGCGACAAGATGAAGGATAACTCTTCTGCGGAGTGGAGTGTTTTCTGATGTTGAAAAGCTTAAATATATAGTTTTAGATTAATAACACATACCAGCTATTATATTTTGGTTACAGTCGTATTAACTCCTTATGGACCACCAGTGAGGAACATTGAGACGAGGACAAAGACCTTGCAGAAAAGCCAGTACAGAGCATATTAGTTGTGTTTGTATTACTTCCCGATGTTTGCAGCTTGTACATAAATGATGTTTGCTGAGAGTGGCAGTTACATCAGTTAGTCATTAGGAGAACACAGAGGAACATCACATGCCCTGAGCAATGCTTTCATCAGCACAAAATGTGTTGAGGATACTCTGGTACTAACGGCACGTCCACACTACAGCTTCAAAAAAAGCTTGGAGCTGGGCGTGTCTGAAGCTCGACCAACAACCAATCACATGAATCTCCCGCCCCTGACACACAAGCAGCGGTTTGATTGGCTCGAGCTTGTACCGGCATATGATTTGATTGGCTGACGCTTCCACCGAAAGCTTCAGAAGCTTCAAAAGTTGAACATTGCTCAACTTTTGCAGCCTGAAACGCCAGGAAAGCTCCGCTCTGCTTCCCACAATGCAGTTCGGCGAAAAGTGACGTCACCCCATTCAAAGTGAATGGGCAGACGCGTTGGAAATCGTTTTTGAAGCTGTAGTGTGGACGGGCCGTCAAGCTGGTATAAAAAGGATCCCTTAAAAGCGTCACGTCTGAATTGATTAGCCTCCAGTTGCAGCCCTAATCCTCTCCTAATAGCACGTGTGTATCATGGAGATGTAACTATGTTTCCTCTCCTCCTCCACAGGTGCGGTGCCCGCTGAAGGGATGTGGCCGTCTCACTCGCCCCCTCCTCCGGGTCAGGAGAGTTGGGTCAGTTTCACAGCGGACACGCCGCCATCCAGCGCCATCCCAGGAATGCATCCCTCATCAGCCCAGGTAGGGCAGTCCAACACGTCTATCACCACTAGGGCTGCAACAAACGACTCATTTGATAATCGATTAATCTATCGATTAATGAAACGATTAATCGACTATTCGGACTATTACTGTATGCCTTGCACAATTTCTCAAACGCTCTTATTTAGCCATCAACTTTTAGATTTAGCTTGAGGTTGTTTTAGGCATGTGGAAACTAACAATGAAGACAATAAAGATGAATACTTAATATTAATAATATTTCACATCAAAACAAACAACAGTGTTTTAATAAATCGTATTTAATAATCTGATGACAGACTGTAAACAGAATAGCTGAAACTTTAACAAACTAAATAACTGAGTTTCCTCTAATCATTAACCCATGTTTGTATAATGTAGTTAACTCCGTGTGTTGCTGCTAGCATACATAACACCTGACGTGGAAATGTTCCTCGTGGATGGGGCTACAGAGCTGCTAGAAAGACGGTCGAACCTGGTGCATTTCTCCGTCTGAACGTGGAGCACTTTTGATAAATGTTTTGACAAATTGCTCGTGTTACCGCCCTTACATGCTAAACTCTTATTGCACTTTTGGTAACGAGGATTGTCCGCATCGAGACGGGTAAAGTTTAACCACACCTCGGAGCGCGTTCTCTCCGCCATCCCCGCCGTGTGTTGCTGCATGTAGCAGAGCGTGTGTGTAAACTGCCCCGCCCCCTCGCACACAGACGGGAGAGAGATCTCGTCTGGATTGGAAAGATCGAAAATACATCATAGACACATTTGTTTGTCTTTTTGCATATTAGAAACGAGTTGGCGAAACTAAGACTGCGATATAATGCTTATGTAGCAATAACCCATATGACATCTCTTTTTAAAATGTCTCCAGTACCGATAAAAAGACCAATAACGTTGGAGCTTAACGGCACGTAAAACACGTGATGACGTCACCAACGAATCGACGACTGAATTAGTTGGTAACTAATTTGGTCATCGATTAAGTCGATTAGTTGTTGCACCCCTAACCACCATCTTAATAAAGAACTGATTTCCCTTTTACAAATTGCAGTTATTTTATGTGCAACTCACTTTTCGTTGAGGTAGCTTGGCTTTAAATTCTTCAGTTGTTTAAAATGTTCAGGATTTATTTCTATAAAGCACACAATCTGCATTTGTCTTACCCAAGTCCTCATACATAGCATTTAACTACAGACTACTGATAATACATCAACTAATTCCACAGAAAAGTGCGTCTGTGGTTACAAAGGAATCAGACAAATCTTGAGATTGTGAAAAGGACAATGGATTGATTCTGACAGGCTGTGTTAATCATTGCAGTCGTCATCACCCTCTTTTATCAAATGCAAAGACATTACAAACATAAGATATCTTACTAACTGAAGACTTAAACATATATCAATGTTTCCCCTGCCTGCACTGCTAGACCTTAACTCTCGTGTGACATTGTTTAGGCCAAGTTGAAAACCAGCCCCTGTACCCAGTGTCTGAGTTAAGACAGACGTCATGCTGATCTTTTGTTTCTTGAGTAATGTTATTGCATATTTCAAATATGAGATGATTCATGGGAACTAGTGATAGGCTTTCTGACTGTCCTACTGTTCCAAATTCCTTGAAGAACAGGACTGTTTTGGAAGAGTAACATTGCCGTTTTTTGACATGTCACATGTAATCAACAGTCATGGGATTTTTTTTTTTAACAGTTTCAAATGTAAACAGCCCAAACTATGGCTAGAAAAATGCATACTGTACACTAGGGCTGTGCAATTAATCATATTTTAATCTACATTACGATTTTGGCTTGCAATGATTACGAAAACAACGTAATCCAAATTAAACGATTAATTTTTATTTTAAAAAAATGTAATTATTTTTTTTTTAATGGGTTTTTCAGTTGAATTATAATTAAAGTTCAGGGTAATCAACTGTTAAAAACATACTGTTACATTTTGTTGTTGTTGCAATAAATGGATGTTTTCAAAGTAAATGGATAATCGTTTTTAATAATCGTGATATCAATTATTGACCAAAATAATCGTGATTATGATTTTTGCCATAGTCGCACATAGGACATGGTTTATTCTGAACTTTACTTTCAGTGCTGGTTTAATATATCCATGTCTATTAAATCAGTGCTGTTATCTCAAATGTTTCTGTAAATGTCCCATTTGTTCCCCATAGGAAAGCACAACGATACGAACGGTGGCCTCAGGAGCAACAGCCAATGAGATGCAGCGACAGACGAGCGGCTACGATGATCCGTGGAAGATCACGGACGAGCAGAGACAGTATTATATAAACCAGTTTAAAACCATCCAGCCAGATCTAAACGGCTTTATACCTGGTAGGATTATGCAGAAAATAACACAATAAAGCTAACGTTTAAGGATAATTGTTTAACCATCAGTTTCTTTGGGTTTTAGGGTCGTCTGCAAAAGAGTTCTTTACCAAATCAAAACTACCGATTTTAGAGTTGTCACATATTTGGTGAGTCAACCCTTTTATCCACAAACACTATGATTATCTGTGCTGAATGTATACAGTTGTTTTGTGAGGACTGCAGACTCACCTACGTCTAATGTGTGCTTTGAAGGGAGCTGTCAGACTTCGATAAAGACGGGGCGCTGACCCTGGATGAATTCTGTGCCGCCTTTCACCTGGTCGTGGCCAGGAAAAATGGATATGACCTCCCTGAGAAGCTGCCTGAGAGCCTGATGCCAAAGCTGATTGACCTGGATGACTCAGCAGGTCCGCAAGCCTCCCCCCTCCCTCCCTTCCTCTCACTCTGACTCTCTGTCTGTGTTCCTACCTCCCCTAATGTCCCAACCTCAGGCCTCATAAAGCCTGTGAGGTTACAGCACTGCAGTAGTAGTAAATCTATACATTTACTCGGGTGATGAAGTACTTTCTATAATGGAGCTGCTGTAGGTTTCTGCTGCCCTTTCAACGTTATATACTGTACAGCAAAGACAGACTCAATGAGTTGGTAAATTAGACAATTGTTTTCTGTATTTAAGGGAAAGGTAACACACTATGAAAAAGCACTGGTCTTATTTTTAAATATATATAATATCCCCTAGGGCTGCTCGATTATGGCAAAAATCATAATCTCGATTATTTGGGTCAATAATTGATATCACGATTATTAAAAACGATTATCCATCTACTTTGAAAACATCCATTTATTGAAAAACAAATGTTGAACAGTATGTTTTTAACAGTTGATTACCCTGAACTTTAAGTATAATTCAACTGAAAAACCAATTAAAAATAAATAAAATAAATAATCGTTTTATTTCGATTAGGTTGTTTTCATAATCGTTGCAAGCCAACATCGTAATTGCGATTAAAATACGATTAATTGAGCAGCCCTAATATCCCCTTAAGAGTAGTTGCATTAATGAACTATAATTTTGTTGTCATATTAAGCATTTTCCCTTGTCTGTCTTTCATTTTTTTAATTACATTTTACATTTACAAAAGGAAAACTGAGTATTTCTGTCCTTCAAAAATTAAGCGGTTTTTAAACGAGCAAAAACTAGCAAGAAAAGTATTGACAACTTTCTCAAACAACAAATAAAGAGATGATGTATTGCCTTTTGTTTGCCACCCGGACCCCTAATATTTTAGTTGTGGAATAACATGGCTGACCTGTGTCTAATGTTCTGTGTCCAGAGGTCCCGGACCAGGCCGCGGACGTCGGGTACTCGGGCTCCCCGGTGGAGGTCACCCCCAACAAGTCTCCCTCCATGCCTTCACTCAACCAGGCCTGGCCCGAGATGAACCAGAACAGCGAGGTTCACAACACAAACATTTCTTATTGCTCCATGTTCGTTTGCTTTGCTGTGTTGCATTTGATTCATCATGATTAATTGCTGAGGGGTAAATGGGGGCTTTTTCTTTATCCATCCATCATGATTTGACTGCTACTTCATCCTCTTCATCATCAAACATAATTACTGATAATTCAGCACCTCTTCTCTCACTTCCTGTGCTGTTCTGTGTGGAAGTCTGTTGTTCCCGCGCCCGCCGATGATGTCACATCGATGGCCGATGATGTCACACGACGGACGCGGCTCGGGCTGATGATGTAAATGTGTGATGTCACTGCACTGGCTGACATGTTTTTTCTCACTGTCTGTCTGTCTCCTGCAGCAGTGGGAGACGTTTAGCGAGCGCTCCTCCAGCTCACAAACTCTGACCCAATTTGACTCTAACATTGCACCAGCTGACCCTGTAAGTCAATCACTTAGTCTGCATGGTTTCACCATTAATGGACAGACATTAACCCTCTCTGGATCTCCATGAGCTCTCTCTCTCTCTCTCTCTCTCTCTCTCTCTCATCATCTGTCTCCTCTCTTCTCTCT